CTCTCAGTATCTGTCTCAAAATAAAATATTTATTGTACTAGTACTTTCGACCATAGGTCACCATCAGGTATATATATATATATGTGTGTGTGTGTGTGTGTATATATGTGTATGTGTGTGGTATAGCTACATCTCAGAATAGTTAAATCGACCAGTGTATGATACGGTAATAAAAATCACAAAAAAAAAAAAAAAAAAAAATAACGTACATATAAAAGTATAAAGTTCATTAAGCGATGTAAATGCAGCTCTAATATTCAGAATCATGCTTTAACAGAAAAGTGATTTTTAATTGGAGGTGGTTTTTAATTGGAATGGAGAGTATTTGTATACTGTATTCTATATAAAGCTCAGTACATCACAAATCTGCTATAGACCTACTAAAGTTTGATTTTGATACGGAAGGAGCAACCTGTTTCCACAAGGCCTACTACAAGTATTAAACGGATTAAAAATGACCAACCGACAACTACATTATTTTTACAATTCCGTTACATTTTTCGAATATGTTAACTCACCACCTTCACTTCCATTTTAATGTACGGTAGTTTATTTTTTGTAGGCCTATGTAGTGTTTGCCGCTTGTTTAGATTATACTACTGTATGTCTAATACCTTGGTAATGGTACATGGTACCTGCTTGGTAGAGACAAGTAATGTGTTACTATATACTAGGACTAAATATAGATTTATATAGCGCACACATCAAAAAACGTACGATGAAGACCAATGTACGGTAGGCTGAAGTGCTTGTCACCACAGTGCATGGATAGTAAAAAATGATATACTGTATTTAATAACAGTGTTATTTGGCATATCGACAATCTGATGGCAATATTCACGAAAGTAATTACGATGTAGTTGTGATCCGATATTATTCATAAACATGCCAATAAAAGTTGACTATAAACTGAGAGAACTATTCTATAGTTGTCTCAGCTATAAATAGCACAAGAAAAGTACATTACGAGGACCGATGTGTTAAAGAATTCAAGTCAGTCGAAGTTTATTCCTTTAAATTCACATAGTACCAGTATATCATTAAATTCCTCATGAATATATTCATGAGAATTTATCATCACGAACATAATACGTTTGATGGGAATGATGTTTTCTTTTTTAAATATAGAATTCGCCATATACAAGGCTGAAACTGAAAGCCTCTTTCGGTACGGTAGACAAGGAGGAAAGAACAAAACAAAAACATAATGAAGATACTAATGATAGTAAAAATTGGAATCTTCAGAGATGAGTTACGGTGATGAAAGCCGCGTTCACAATGGATCCGAACCGAAATCGAACGGTGTTTCCGATGCGCCAAACACCAGCGTTCCTATTCTTACATTCAGATCCGATTTTCTGATCGCTTCAGGCCTACCCTAAGCGTTCAGTTCCGACAATTCGGATCCGGTGTGTGAATGCAACTTAAATGATCAAAATAACCGTAGCTGAACTGTGATTTTAATAATGATAAATGTCGGTGCCGCATGGTATTTAGGGGGGGGGGGGAGAGAAACTGTGGCACCGGCTCACGAACACTTCCCCACCCCCTCCCCCATAAAAGGTTGGCCCCAAATTGAAAATATCGGAATCAAAATAATGTCACGCTTAAGTAGTTCAAAATCACCTAATATCACCTTATTTTGCAACTCAGCGCCCCTCGCTTAATCATCTGGCTTCCCCCCACTGCTGACTGTCTAGCTGGAAGGGCCCTCCAGCATAAAACAAAATCAACAGACAAAATACTTGAATGATACATAAATATAAATTCTCTTTTAGTTTCATTTGTGTAAAAATGGACAGGAACAATGTAAAAAAAGCAGCATTTTGATAAAAATGATATCTACACTATAGTTTAATGATACAATAGGGCTATTACTTCATAGCTTAGAAAAAAATCGTTACGTGGTTATCAGATGTGAAGAATCTTTCAAACTTAAAACGGCTCTCCATTAGAACTGAAAATATTTTCAAAATCACCACAGGCCTCCGTACTCGCCAATACGATCTACATTCGACTCCACAATCGATTCCCAAACGTAAATATCCTAATAATTGTTAATCAAGAAAAACTTGTAGCTTCGTGTTGTAATCTCATTATGGGGTGCATTTACAAAGATTGATGAACGTCCTAAGTCAATTTGCTGTAACAAAACACTAACGGATGCGTCACTTACGTAGAGTAAAAATTCTAGATGAGAGAAGCAATGCCTGAAGTCAGGCACGCACCCGACAGTCGTAGGCCGACGAGATTCGAATTGAAAACGCGACTCGACGACACGTTGCGCGCACACGGATCGTTTTTTTTTTTTTTTAATGACCATCATCAGACGGCGTTGCATCTTTCATTCTTACAGGGATCGGAGTTGGATGCGAGTGCCCGGATTTAGAAGCACAGGGCAGCATTGGAAAAACAATATGGCGAGTTTTATTGATGTTTGCAGAATTTAGATGTCATATTGAAATAAATTGATCATTGCATTACGCGTTATGTATTTCAAGGTTTATTGATTTCAACTTAACTCCAGACTCCATTAAACTTGTGCGTTATTAATTTTTGCCGAGCATTAAATTATACTATAAAATAGATATATTCAGAATACTAATTATGTACTTTCCAAGCAAGCACAAAACGTTAATATAATATTCGCGAACGTTGTGAATGTTGTGATTATTATGTAAAAAATAAACGTTATCCCAATGTTGTAGCAACGTTGTAAGAGTTATGTAGTCAGAAAGGTTACAAAAACATATTTCTGCAACGTTACTATAACGTATAGGCACTCTCTTGCAGTTGTCTACTAAACTCTACAAAAAAAAAAAGCTCATGGAAAAAAAAAAAGCTCATGTTCCGTACTCCATGAAATAATAGCATAAATAATAAAGCTATAGAATTAATCAATCAACAAATATTTGTAATGCACCAATATCCAAGGCAGAATGCAATATAATTCAAAGATTGCGAAATTAAATTTCTTGTGCATAAAAAAAAAAAAAAAAAAAAAAAAATTCGTGTGAGATGGAGAAGAGCAAGATTTTAACTTTTTCTTAAAGACTTGTTGTGCTTTCCCGTTTCCATATTCGAACGAAATTTACTTCATCATCTTTAGTAACAAAAGCACGAATAATCCTGGTATGCTTACCGGTGCTACACACACCTTTGTTTGGCAGTCAATTTAAGACTTTAGCGATTTCATCATATTTATGGTAAACCTTTAATTAATTTAGTAGGCCTTATTTTCTTTCCTTGCCACGTAAAATAAATTTAATCTTTTCTTAAACCACTGTTAAAAATCAATTGAAGTTTTGATGTTTTCCGGGATTTTATGACCGACGGGATTATAGCTTCAACATTCTTTCCTATTTTGAACTTCAGAAACATTTTTTTATACAACTTTGTTTAAACATAATTTGCATTTACAGTAGTTTTTTTTAATAAAATGTATTGAAAAGTTATTTTCTAGTGCATTGTCGTTTCCTGATGATGGCATTAATGTTCAAATATTGAATCACAACACGATGGCATGTATTTCAATATCTGGAGTATGCATACTTTCATTTCTTGATCAATTAACTCAGTTTCGTGCCTTTTATTGAATGCATTTAATTGCTGTTGCTTCAGTGTTTTATTGTCCCTTTATTGCATAGGCGGAAAACGTGCGGTCTTTATCGAATGTTTTTCATTTTACATAGTTCATCGTATTTGTCATTGTACGGTACTTTCTTAATATAAACATCAATTCAATTTAGTTGTGAATTTGGTTAACTAATAATAATTGAATACTAAAAAGGGGGTTAATTATGGAAAATGGTGGTACAACCTTACAATATGCAACACTGATTGGAACACTGATGTATTCAATAATTAATTCCCAGATATCAATCATTTGTCATCAATCAACATATCTTGTATCATCGTGATATCGTCTTACATAAATCTATAATTTGATCAAAACATTGTTTTCAATTCAATACTCGTGGGCTAGATTACCATGGTAATAAGTACACACATGGTCGCAACGCAAATAACAAACCTGATAATACACGAAACACAGCAAGGTTGGGAATGCACAATTTTATGTAACTGATTTATTAAAAACAGAATACAACTTACATTATAAAGAAGTCAAAATTAAACAACAAAAAACTAGGCCTATATTTAAAAAAAAAAAAAAAAAAAAATTACTGTACTTTTAAAATAAAGATGCAAACAGCCAACTGTTGGCAACGACATGTCAACTCGCGCGTAACTGTTTATAAATGTTACAAAACACTCAACAAATTAGAACATGCGTAAATTATTCAGGACTTGTTAATTAGATTCAGATATGTAAAAATTCAGAAACAACTTGAGCTGAAGATTTAACTGAAGGCTGCTAACGGTGCCGTTGTTTTACACATCACAAATACCGCCATTCAACCGGAATTACGTTAATAAGATTAGAGTGGTTACACACGCGATCATCTACAAACTATGAATTTTGTTAATCAACTCTGAGTGGTTATCTCACAAGTTTATGTGATAGCTTATAATTGAGCCCGCATCAAGCACATCTTGATCTATCCTTGGTTGGCTGTTTAGCCAGTAGTGTCATTTGTGCCTGGATAGATGCACAGTGTTGGCCGGTTCCGCCTTGTACACACCAATAAATTAAATGAAAATACTGTAGTCCACAATTAATAAAGATGTTTCTTTCGTGAAATTACTCATTCATTTGTATGTATTTTGCGCGAACCATGTAGTCTATAACCAGTTAATGAATAATTGTTTACTTTGATTTATAAACACACATTTGGTTGATGTCAAACTATGCAGCCACAAAAAGTTACGACATCAATCTTCAAATAATATTGTAGTTAGATATTCATTTATGTTTAATGAAAACAATTAAACTTAATGACAACGAATCCAGAAAATATTAGCATTGACTTTCTTTACCAACAGGTAACTGTTTGTACGAATAATCTCAACCTTTCAATTACATGCAAAAGTGATAATATACTTACCAAGAATGGCTGCAAAAAATCAAAGTTTTTAAGTGAATTATCTGTTGATATAACTAGCTCTGGAGACCAACTGTCAGATAACACAGAGGTTATCGAGTTTATAAACATGGAAATCGGTTATAATAATTCCACTTGACATACAAATTTATGTGACCTCAAAGCATTCAATAATAATTCAGTATTTAGATATCCATTATATGTAATTATAGTATTTGAGCTTGGTATTCATGCTCAATCATAATCAATCATTTTGGAAAAGATGATGGAATGATAACATCTCCTACAATGGCATATGTTGCCTGCTTCTAATTATTTGAGTGAGGAGTGTTTACACTAAAATACTTTAATCCAAGGCCATTCAACTTGAAAAAAATATTAGTCACAATTATTTTAGCATCAATGTCATAAGCTTGGGAGGATTGGATCTGTCAGGAGGAAAACAAAGATTAAGTAATAAAAATATGATTGTACAAATGTACAGAGTCTAGAATATCCCACAATTCAGTAGAGGGATAAAAGGTGGTGTATCATCATTATCTTATCTATAAATTCTCCTTAGGTGACTCTGCTGCACTTGCTTGTTCATCCACTACAACAGTCTCCATTTTATTTTCATCCAATTTGTCTTCCCCTTCTTTATCTTCAGCAACCTCCTTTACAATACCGTTGTTAGCATTAATTTCCTCTGCATTTTCTGTATCCATCGAACTCACATCCTCTTTTTCCTCCTTGATTTCATCACTATGTTTCTCTACTGTATTTGGTTTTTCTTTACTAACTTCATCTTCTACTCTACCGTCATTATTATCCTCCTTTTTCTTTCCTACATCTCCATTTACGCTATCACTCTTCGACTCATTCTCTTTCTTTAGCTCATCATCTTTCTTTGAGGATTGCTTCTCTTTTTCTAAATCACTTGTTTTCTTCTCCTTCCGTCGTTTCCTTTCATCATCTCTACTTCTATCTCTCTCTTTTCCACGATGTTCATCTCTATCTCTACGTTTCTCTCTCTCTTTACGCCTATCTCCTTCTTTCTCCCTCTCACTATCTCTTCTCCTCTTTGTCTTTCCATCTTTCTCTGGCTCACTTTTTTCCCGCTTTCTTTCATTTTCCTTCTCACTCTTGCCTTCACCCCGCTGCTTGCCAAACCCCTCAAATGTTCGAATATCTTCTTCGATGGCTTCCCTCCTTTTGCTAGCCATCTCTGAAATCAAAGAATTATTTAGAGTAGAGAATGATACTGATTTTTTTTCATTTATTCAGTTTTAGGCACTAGGGCCAAGGATTTACCGAACATTGAACTTAATCACTCTTCTAAGTGGAAATCCTGTTGCAAGGCAAACATACACACAAGATGTTTTACATAGACCAAGTCTTATTATGAAGCTTACGGAGTTGTTTTGGTTGAGAAAAAAAATCCTGATACAGTGGCAAGAATTGATTCCAGGACCCTGGGATTGGGATGCAAGCACCTTAACCACCAAGCTATTGATAGGCACTGCTAAATACCTACCATGGACAATTTAGCTCACTACAAGACCATTGAAATATTATTCAAATTTCATTCAATTCTTGCAGCAGTCCCTATTCCTTTCACTCTATTTTATACAGTAATTTATTGGCCAGTTTCTTTCTATGCTACAAATATTTAACGTTTTCTTCCCTCATTTCATCTACGAATGACCTACCTGCTAGCTTCTTCTTTGTTGATGCTAATTTCTTGTCATCATCCTGCATCATTTTGCGAGGGCGATAGAACAGTGGCGGCTTAGCTTTCGTTTGGATGAAGCCACCCAATGTTTCACTGTGCTTATCCCACATCACTTGCTGCAAAAAAGGCATTGATGATATCTGATAAATATATATTATTGTATTGGAATTTTATCTATCAGGAGACCAGTGCTAAAACCAGCTGTTGTACTGAAAGTAATCAACAGCGGGGTAAAGGTGTGCTAAATGGTACAACTAGTTGTTAGCCTAAGAATAATCAACAGAAGGATAAAGATGTATGTGCTGAATGTTACAACCTATTATTGGCATGAGAATATTCAACAAGGTGTATATAACTGTTAGCGCTCTCTACGTAATAATCACAAAATAGAGCACCGTCTATGGTAGTTTTCTGTGTCTACTGCCCTCAGGCAATAGACACTTTGCTATCCCGGTCAATCCTGAAGCGTAAAGTTGACTTTGTGAGCGCGAGTGGACATTATATTCACAAAAGTGTGAATTAAGAATCCGGAAGTGTAAAGTTGACATTATGTCACATTCGTGATGTGTGATATGACGTGATTTTACTACTACCCATAAACTCAGTCGTTTACGGGTAGTAGTATCCGTCATATATCCGGCGCACAGTTCCGAAAGTTGGAAGTTAAATCGAGTAGAAGTGGTTAAACGGGTCAACAGTTGAACTCAGGTCAAGACTATTTTGCTTGTGGCTGTTCCCGTTTTTTTTTTTTTTCTACCGTAACTCGGTGGTTTTGGAGTTGATGCTATCAATCATCAGTCAGTCTGCACAAATTGGAAAGCTTGGATAATAATAAAAAGCACCATTTCTATTAAATTTGGCAGTAGACACATGCTCCCGCTGGGAGCCTATTTTTAAAAATTGTAGTGGAACTGCAATGGTTTACATTCCTCGGTTGGTATATAACCAACGAGGGAGTAAAGTCATGCATTGGATGCCACATCTAGTAGTTGATCTAAAAGGAATTAACATAAAAGATGCTTACTTCCTTGGCAATTTCCATCAGTTCTTCCAATCTCTCCAGCTCCTTCTGTTTGTTGCGTCGCTCCATAAACAGCTCTCGTCTTTCATTGGCTATCTCTTGCTTCTCCTTCTTGGCTCTGGCATCCAGTTTCTGCTCGATTTCCTGCCGTTGTTTTTCCTGTATAAATAAACAATCTTTAGATACACAAACAAATAATGGTTTAATGGCACCAGCATCTGTCTTGAATTTATAACCTTTTGGTTGGAAATCTAAAGCTATATGCTTTCACAGTTTGTATACAAGTATTATACTAGTCATAAAATACCTTGTCTGTCTTCTGTACAGAATCATCCTTAAATTTTTGAAGGGTTCCTAGAAGAAGGCCAAACATACGACGATTCCTACGATAGCAAAGAAAAATAACAACGTTAACTATTGGTTTTATTTTCATTTTATGCAATGTGGGAGAATGGTATCATGCTACTTTACATTGTTTGGACTGTGGTGTTGTCTGGCTGAACTACTACTACTACTTCTCAATGCACCCAGGACAGTACCACCTGTAATAACCAAAAAACTGCCAACAGTTCAAAGAGACAGAATTTGTTTTTTTTTAGGGGTGTTGGTTGGCCGAGCGGTTAAGTCAGGGGTGGCGTAACCTTGAGCTATTATATCGGGGCTGGTTCAAACGGCTAACTCGCCTATGGTTACAGTGGTGGAACATGTCTTCTCGGATAAGGACTTTAAACCGTAGGCCCAGTGTATGCATTTGGCTAGTGTACACTTTAAAGAACCCAGTACATCCTTCGAGAAGAGTGGGGGGGCTACCCCAGTGTACTGGTCCATTCAGTCCCCTGTTGTTTAATGGATATGCCAGGTAGGATAGTGATTAAGTTCGCTGATTGCCATACACTTGGTGCTCATGCCTAAAGAAATGAGGCGTTTTTTTTTTGTTTTTTTTTGGGAGAGAATAGGCAATTAGTCGGTTTATCAAGCCAAGTATTCATGAAAGTATACTGTTACCATCCAACTTGTGTGAGCTAAGGTTTTATGATTAACTAAGTACTTGGCATCCAATTTGCAAACCCTGCAAATAACAGGTTTTTCTAATAACTCTTTCAACCACATAATATAAATTAGCAGAGAATCCAAAAGATGTGCGTCAAAAAACTATTTTGTATTCTGATATGATAGCTCCTTTAATCATTGTCCAGACTACACTACAGAAAAACATGTGACATGTCTAAATATGGTCATCATCACATCATGACTCTATAAAGCATCATTACTATATATGGGCATACAACATTTTTTTTGTCAAAGGAAATTTGATAGTGTGGACAAAGATTTACAATACTTGGGGCACTGAGACAGGTAGGTAGGTAGTTAAGGATGATACAATTTATTTCTGCCAACATTCTGAACTACAGCAGGGGGAAGATCATCTATTGAAGATGGTGCCTTAAATATCTGTTTTAGCTTTCATCCATTATCCTTGTGCTAAGCGACAGTTGCCTGAGAGTTATTGTTCCTGTTTCTTGTGTTGAAGACCCTACAGTAGTTCAAACCTGGCCAGCGCACGGTTTTAATTAGTGTCCGATCGCTTGGCTCCTCGAATAACCCTCATATAAAATGTTAGGCGGGTTAAGGACAATGTATCCATATGTGTCCAATGTAGTTAAGATGGGTGGCGCTATACTACGGCTCCCCAGCCCAAATTTCCAATTTGAATGAGGACGAATAAAGAATTATTATTATTATATTTTGCTACCTAGCAGTGGACTTGGAGTCCTGGCCCTGGTCTTCAATCGAGTCCTTCCTGGTGCGAGTGATTGATGTAGGTGCTACAACTGAGGACTGTATAGCAGGCTGCAAGAATAAACACGCATAACAGATGTATTAATCAGCAAACAAAACAGATCTAATTATATAATGCATTCCACAAAAATTAATGAAAACAACAAAAGCAGACAATATGAACCCATTATTGAAGTTAAACTGCAATCCAACATAAGTTATATGCAGTTTAAATTGTTTTTACTCCTAAACCTCTCCCATTAACCCCACAAGAGGGTTGACTCTCGCGTATCATCATGTGTTCCGAAATGGAAGGATAATGACTGATTGAATGCAACTCATTCATAATTAAGTAATTGGTAATATGTTATCATACACTATTATTTTCATAGTGTAAGAAAACTTTCCACAAACTGTAAAAGGGTCTCAATTCATCTATGAATTGAGACTCCTATTCCTGAAAATGTAGGTTGTGATCCACCAGTGGCTCGATAAAGTATTTTTGTGGGTCATAAACTTGACAGTTACCTAAATCAGCTAGCTCTACTCCTGTCTCTTATACACATCTAGATGTGTATAAGAGACAGGTGTATGCATTTGGCTAGTGTACACTTTAAAGAACCCAGTACATCCTTCGAGAAGAGTGGGGGGCTACCCCAGTGTACCTGTCACCCCTCAACCGATTGACCTAAAATTTGAGATTTGATGCTGTGAGATCACACTAAACAAGTACACCAAGTTTCATCAAAATCAAAAAATATGTGGTTAAAATTTTCAGATTTTTTGGGTGATTTGACATGGAATGACCCTGCTGTATAATCAAACAAATTAATTACCCAAATGCAACCCTTACCTCGTCCCCATTGGTCCCGGTCCAGCACCTCTATTTCTCGGTCGAGGTCCACTAAGTCCACCACCAACAGATACTTTTCGCTGATCTGTTATTCTGCCAGTACTGTAGAAAATTAAATACAAATAATATTAACAATAAATATAGCTACGAGATTGCATTTCTTTATTGAAGTTGTATTGTTCGATCAAAAATGGTCTATGCTAAAGCAAGGAGGTATAAGGCCTAAGTTAGCCCACATATAGGCATTTTACAGCATTTAATTTAATGGAGTCCTTATCTGAATTTGACTCTCCATGTCTACTCAGTTTCCTAGTCAACTTCGACCCCACAATTACAAATGTTCTAAACTAGTGAGACAGTATTTCCAAACAAACAATATGAAAAATTAACAAAAAAGAAAAGGTTTATATATAAACATATTAATAGAAAAGCAATCTGAGAAAGAAATACAACATTAACATTTATTACCAATTAGCTTGTAAATAAAATAGGTTTATTTTATTTCCCAAAATCATATTTCATTCTTAACTACAAAACAACAATTTTAGTCTATAGAGTATAAATAACAATCTGACCAAAAAACGCGAAAAAAAAAAAAAAAAAATTAACTATTATAAATTTTCTTTTGTAAAATTGTTGGAAAACTTTATTTTTACTTCCCAAAACAATCTACTGTACAGCACTTTTGTTATTTTGACACAACGGAAAATTCAAGAACTAAGTTTTGGGCCAACTTGATTTTTGGGGCCAAACCAAGTAGACTTTTGGGCTGCTTAAAGTTGACATGGATCTGAATTTGGAAAGAAGAGCTGATACTGTATTGGCACAAATACTACAGAAAATTCAGAAAATTAAGCCTTGGCCTATCTTTCAATATAATATCAACTGATTTAAGCAGAGCATATGATTCTGCGCACCTATTCCTGGGCGATACCATTCTAAAAATGGGTGTTATGAAATGTGTGTTGGGTATTATTATACATGGTGTGGTGCGGCCTGGGTATAACAGCCTATGTGCAGTAGAGTAGGCAGTCTAAACGGCGTGTATTATTATCATTATTTAACCTACAATCGACCCTGATTTTAGTGTTTCATTTCAGTTATAATTATGTGCCTGTATATAGGGTATAATCGGGGGTATAATTATATGATTTTAATTAATTAAACATAGAATAGATCCTGATTTCCATGTTTTAATTCAGTTATAATTATTAATTATTATATATCTGTAATTATGTGCCTGTGTAGGGTATATTCATAATACCAGGTATTTAAACATATGGTATAATAATATGTTTTTAATTATTAATTAAACATACAGTAGACCTGATTTCAGTGTTTTTTTTCAGTTATAATTATTATTGCGTGTTTTATTTCAGTTTAAAATATTGATTGTCTGTAAGTGTAATTATGTGCCTGTGTAGGGTGTTATACCGGGTGGGTCCCTGCATAATTATGTCTTTGATTATTAAATAAACACACAGTTCAACCTGATTTCAATGTTTTATTTCAGTTATAATTATTAATTATTACATGTTTTATTCAGTTATAATTATTGATTATTATATCTGTAATTAGGTGTCTGCGTTCATCTGGTCGGTGAACTTGTAAACACAAGTTGTGAACTCGAGTAGAATTTTCTTCCTCGATTTGCACAAGTACTGTAGTGTGGAAAATGGCAGACGTAACACAAACGAGCAGATGTATTTAATGCAATTTGTTTAAGTATATGACTTCAGATAAAAAAAAAAAAGTGTTTTTTGTATGTTTTATTGCAACCTCATAATTTGCTGTGTATAACATTCTGAATGCACCTTACGGAGTCTTAATTCAAGCTTTTTTTTTTACATAGCCTAGGCCTAGGCCAAGGAGCACACCCATTTGAGGGCGCCCAAATAGGAAAAAACAAAGATACTAGAAACACAAGATAGAGCACTCGCATAGCAAAAATGAGGCGGAAATCATGCCCGAAGTAGGCGGCGCCCTTCTTTTTAACCATGCAAGTTTTCTATATTTCGTGCCCGATGTACAGGGTGCCCTTCTGTTGCTAAGTATATCCAGGCGCACACAGCGCCCTTCTTTTTCCACCAATGGAATAAAACGTTATCACTAGAGTGCGTCCGGCCATACGATTTTGCGCTATATTGTTGTTTTCTATACTGATCCATAGGCTTAATTGTGTGTTTATTTGGATAATAGCAACGATTTCTACCTCCGCCAAGGAATTATGTATTCACCGTTGTCATTGCCTGGGTACTAATTGTACAATTGTGTACAATTTTTTAATTGAGAATTGACAATAAAATACGCGATGACTTGGTAACGAAAGTTTAGTTCAAGTTTTTTTAGATCCAGCCGTAAGGGGCGTCCCATTGTTTGTATTCCCACCATGCATTTCGGTGGAACACTATTTTTGTGTGGAAACTCTATCTTGTGTTTCTAGTATCTTTGGAAAAAATAATTTCATTTTAGAGTTCATCAAATGAATGCACTCTTCTCGTGTTCTCCCATGTTACAAGTTGTGAAATCATTTTTCACAAGCATAACACCCGGTATAACACAGGGTATTAGTTTTTGATATTAATTAAACATACAGTAGATCCTGATTTCAGTGTTTTATTTCAGTTATAATTATTGATTATTATGTCTGTAATTATTATCCTATGTAACGGGTATAACATAGGGTATAATTATATGTGTATAAAAAAATACACATCATATATTATAAGCATATCAGACAGGATTGCTTGTACACATAATGCTAACAGAATCTAGAGTGAATATGTTGCCATGGTGCATAGTTGATTATGGTTCTTAGTATTGTTTAATTAATTTCTTTCTGTGCCTAGGGCCTACATAAACTGGCTAGGCCTAGCTTGTTTCTGTGAAGAGAGCTTAATTGTCTGACTTACAAATTATAAATTAAACTAGAAATTGCAAATTGCAAGTGAAGTGCTGCAAAGTACAACTGCATATAAATGTTCTTCGAACAAAATTA